AGCAGATGAATCGAGTGTTTTCCTCTATGTTAATCTTAAAGAGACAAACTGGATTTTATTTAGTTTCCAATAATTGGGAGTTGTTTTATTTATACACTCTCCAGTGTTTTCTGTGTCAATGAGCAGCCTTCATATTTAAAATATATGAACCTCTTAGTTGCTTGTAAATTTAATTCCCTCAAGACCAAGTAGTATATACCCGAGGCGTGGGCAAGCCTATGTCAGATTACAGCTCCAAGTGACTGGTGGTGATTGCCCTGAGTAGAGTGATGGGCTGTATCTAGGGTGGGAAAAAGGCATGTTGTGATATCCAGCATGGATTTGGAAAAGGGATTGGCAGCATCTATATCCTGTTGTTCTCAGGCTTGGCATTCATTATCCCAATCTGTGCTTTCAGTTTAGGGATTGTTCTAGACTCCGTAAGGCATTCTCTGGCCATGGCTTTTCACAAGTGGAGGGGCACCAATACAGGATGGGCGTGAGCTTATTGAATGTTCCTTCCTTGCAGGAACATGTACAGAGCATGGAGGTTACCAGATCGACCTACATGACTGGGGTTCATTTTGTGTATTTGTCCAAATCTGTAGATGAAACTAATATCCCAGTGTCCTAAATTACCTTCGGTTCAGCAGTTGTTTATATTTTAGGACATATGCACAGCAGAAGTAGTTTGCTTCTGGGTAGATCTGATACTGTGCTTCATGTCATTGTACTAAGGTTTTCAATAGTCAAGTCACGTGCCTCTCTGCCAGCTTAGTGCCACCAATTCTGTGCTAGTCTGTATTCAGTTACCGGCACTGTTTTAGGCATATTTTTATTTTAGAGGTCCAAGACTTGGGTTTCGTGCTCCTCCCATGCAGATACATTTGTTAATAATCTTTGGCTCTTGTCACTGCCTTGCCATGTTACTCTTGGGTTGAACTGTTTCCCTGCAGAGCCTCTTTCCCTATGATTATTTCATAAGAATCTTTGATCGATCCTTGCTGAAATCTGAGCGATCTGCCGTGGCAAACTTGTGGAATCCTGACTTGGAATTAAGCTGGAAGTCATCTTGTCAAGCCTGCTTGACAGATGAGTTAACAGACCAGGACACTGACAGAGAGAAAGGAGAAAGGGAGGGAGGGGAAGATGGGGAAGGGATTGTCAACTGCATGTGTCTGTTATTAGTAGAAGAATCATGACAAAAGCATTGGCCTTCTTTCTGGAAGATCTGATGTTCATCTCAGATTACCATTGCAGAATGTTATGTTCACTGGCTGGTACGAGTATTCCACTTTACAGACATATAAATTGAGGCTCAGAGATTAGTTGGTAATCCCTACGTTTCACAATAAATGGAGGGTGGAGTAAGGTTAGTTGTTCTGTTTCATAATGAAAGTTTGCTTTGAAGAGATGGGAGGTTAGCTATAAATACAGTTTTTAAAGAGCATACCAGTACGGTATGATCACCATGAGATAAGTTGGAATTTTAAGGTAGAAGTGTGATTCTATATTAATCCAATCCCATGTGCTTTTTTTTTCTAATAGAGTTTTGTGGCAAAGCTATTTCAAATAAAGGAGATGAACAGTTGGGGTAACTCAGAGCTGGCTACAATAGCAAACAGAGACCTTAATATAGAGATCTTGGGCTCTCCAGTGTACTAGTTGAATAAACAACAGCAAGAGAATTGATCCAAGTGGGGTCCTAAGATGCTAACACAGATTGAATGAAGATCATTGGCAAGGAAAAGATGCTAGAAGTAAGGAATGTTGTCTTAATATCCTTAAATGTTTTATAGGAAGTGCTTATTTTAGTGTATGTTTATTATGAAAATACATACTCAAGAGTGTCTGATAGCATGTATTTGGTTGAGGTGTCTTCAATGGCAATGACTTACTTCATTAAATTTGTATCCCTTATGCCCAACATTATATGTATGTATATGCTAGGCATTTTATAAGTGTTCATTTAATGAAATAGAGCAAGAGATAGACATACTTCTTAGTGAATGATCTCCATGATGCTCTGCAGCTTTGGTGCTGGAGATAATAAATGAGCAAAAGGCTAGACTTCAGTAAAGAGATGCTCCAATGGGGTGGTCCTCTCTTATTTTTGTGTGATAAATGCTTTCTGCCTAATTTTTCTTAACCAAAAGTGTTAGTGGGATTAGCAAACTCTAGAGATATTTGAGACTTGAGGATGGTGAAGGCCTTATGTGAAAATGGAAGGTTCTGGATTGTAGGGAAGTGAATTCTTTTTCCCCACATGGTTTCTAGAAAATCCACACACATGAATTTTAGAAGTGTGACAAGGGGACACATGCACTGGATATGAGATTGCAGTTGGCAACTGCAGAGTTTTGCCTTCTTCTAAGTCTGAGATGCCAAGGACCACTCTATAACAGAGATTGCTGAGATGTGGCACTGTAATTTAAGGACTCATTATGCATGAACAAAGAACTGTCAAGTGTGTATTTCTGTGATGCTGAGAAATATTAGAGAAAATCCACCCTCTCCATATCTCCCAATTCATAGCTCTGCATTCTCTCCCACATCATCTGTCCCTTGACCTATCTCTAGCCTCAACCCTCTCTGTAACTATGCTTATTCTGCTCCAAACCTTTGTCTCTCATTTTACTCTGAGTTTAATTTCTTTTACATTAAAAAAATCTTTGTTTAACCTTTCTATGCTTTCCAACATCCATTTGTGTTCTCTAGTACTGAAATACTTTTTGTTCTGATCTTACCACATCATGGAATATGACTTTTGAGGGTTAATAATTATCGTATTATGCCCATATTTGAATGTCTTTCCTCAAGGGTAATCCTTTCGGAACTATTGAATGCCATTGTTAATAACAGCCTCATTTCTTTCCCTTTCTCTGTCTCCACAATCTACTCAGCATCATATTCCCAATTAATGCCTGGGTGATGTTTTAATGGTCAGTATTTCCCCCTTTCTGGTCATCCTTTGCTTCTTTCATGGATTTATGTGTTTCTCTTTATTCAAAGTTCTGAGGTAGTTAGTTGAGAGCCCACTGGTTTGCATGGTAGAATCCTATGTTGCTTTTATGCCTCCGTATCTTTTCTCTATGACTAGTACATCTAGAAGCCTCCTCGGGAGGGATCATTGGTGGTTGAAATTTTGCTTATTGGAAATAAACTCACCACAGCCACTGCCACCTCTTCAGACAATACTGTAGAGTAGCATGTTAGCATGCATGAAAGCTCCCTTGGAAGGTTCTCTAAGCCGAATACTATTTGAACCTCTCTGGGCCACCTTCCTGCTATGTCTAGCTTCACAGTATCTTGGTGTCCCTTGTCCTTTGCAGGAGGCAGAAATCACCCCAGGTAGTCCAACGATTGGATCCATGTATATGCCTTCAAAGTCAAAGCCTTTTGTTCCCCATGCTTCTTCACCCCCAACCCCCCTGTGCCCCACCCCCGCTCCTTTAAGATCCTCGTGTGAATCCTCATTTCTCATTCCCAAATCCTCATTTCCAAAATCGCAGTCTGTGCTCTGTGGTCTTCTTCCTGAGCCTGCCACGGAAGTCCTGTAATTGCATCCAGCCCAGCAAGCTTGGATCCTGGTTCACATGACACAAAGGCTCAGTGTCCTCTCGAGTCATTGGTGAAGCCTGCACTAACGAAGTGCTACCACTCAGAGGGTGTCAACAACAGAACTTACTTTCTCACAGGTTGGAGGCTAGAATTCCAAATCTAGGCACAGACAGCTTGGACTCTTTCTCAGGCCCACCACCTCCTTTGTCCTCACAAGATCTTCCCTCTGTAAGTGTCCAGATGTCCTCTTTTTGTAAAGACACCAGTCATGTTAGATTAGTGCCCAACATAATGACCTCTAAAGCTCATGTGTCTACTACAGACATGTACTAGGGAACGGGGAGTTAGAATTCCAACATAATAAATTTGTGTGGGGGACACGATAATACCTTCTCTGTTTAGCCATCCAATTGCACATCCATCCATTCATTTTTTTCCCCTTCATCCTCCTGTTATTTCTTGCTGTCCATCCCTGAATGCCTTCAAAACCCACCAGGTTCATTTTATGGTCGCCCTAGGATGGTTTTCTCAGCCTCACCCTCTGGGTTTGTACACATGGACTTCCTGCTTCGTAAACATGCTTTGCCAAACTGCTTCATCCTTAAGGGTTTCCTTTGCCTCTGGCTCTGTGGAGAGTGGGGCTGTGTGTGTCTCTTGCCCTTTGCACACAGCTCTTGACCCCAGAGGTGATTAAGGAATATCAGTGCTACATTACTGTGAAACCTTCCTTAGGGACAGCTTAGCTTGGTCCCCTACATTTTAGAGAGGGATGTCAAGGGAAGTGGGGTTTGCCAGGTGGGGTTAGAGAATGCAAACACTGATTCTGTCAACAGCTGGAGGAGGAGGGTGGTAATGCTCATGCAGGTGACATCAATGCAAATCCTGTCCAGCCATCTCCCCTACTTTCCAAATAGGAAAAGCAGAAAGGGGGATTTAGGAAGCCCTGGGGATGGTAGTAAATTCATGAATTTTCTGCTAATACAAAAAGAACAAATATTCCTTCAGGAACTTTGGGAAAAAATTCCTTTTCTTTGACCTAATGGGTTGAGAATACTAGATAAGATGCACTTCCTTCCAGAGTGGTAGTGGCTGGGGTGTTAATCCTGTGGAAAGGAGAACTGACCCATTGGATGAAATCCTCTTGAGTTTTGGTGGCCCTCAGAGTCAGACAGTCAAGTGGCATGGACTAGGAGTAGAATTATGGTGATGTGTCCTTTGGGTTGTATCCCGAGTCCTTCCCGAGTGGACTCCTGTCTTGTAGACAGATAGTCAGCTTTTCTGTCTAGGAGCATGGGAAAGAACTTTCGAGGCTGTGCTCAGCAGACACATCTATTCCATTAAAGACAGGCCTGCTTCCCTTCTCTCCCTGCCTCCCTCCCTCCCTGTCTACCTTCCTCCCTCTTCCCTCATCCCTTTTCTCCTCTCTCCTCTTCCCTGCTCTCTCCCTCATTCACTGTCAGGAAGGGCCATGCCAGAAGGGCCCATTCAGCGTGTCGTGGCAGCAGCAGAGGCTAGCAGCGCCAGCAGCTTCCACAGTGAGTCTGGATTTTGTTTTTGGGGCCAGGGGCTGGAGAGGGCTGTCCACACACTGACAGCTTGCAGGCTTTGGAGAGGAACTTCCATGTGTGGGAGGCTGCGGCCAACTTTGTTTTGACTGCCTCCTCTCGTGGGGGCATCATTCAACTTCCATGGAGGTTCCCTGCCAAAGGCACTGGTGTGCTTGTGATGTCTCATGGGGACACAGCATGGTGGGGGTGTGGGGCCATGATCTGCTAAAAGTAGGTGCACATCCTGATTGAGGTGGCTGCCAGCAATTCTGTCCAGGCCTGTGTGTTGGTGGAGGCTGGAGGCTCTGCATGGATGGTGGTTTGGCTGCTTTCTTGCATTCCAGGAGATGTGGCCTTGAGTCTTGCATATACTTTTGTTGTCTAATGCTCAATAAGGGGTTCCCTTGAGGGATCTGAGAATACCATAAGCAAATAGGCTGATGGGTTATTGAGCAGGAGGTATGCACTTGCTCTCAAATGAATTCTGATCTAAAAAGATACTGATGTTCAGGACAGTTATTAAAGGACCACAGTAACTAAGTCATCTGTATATACTTGTGGGAGATTTCTATCTACACTTTAATGCCTATGGTAATTTCTGGGGAAGAGATGGACATCCTTCAGTTCCAGTAGAGGGTCCATCTGTCCTGCCTTGGGTCTCAGACTATGTCAAATAGCTTCTTGCCACTTTTTGTCTACATCCTTTCCCATTCTGTTTCTAGAACAATTCACAGAGTTACAAAATTTATCAGGCCTTAAAAATCAAGCAGAAGCCTTGCTTGTCACCCCGAGAAAGGTTCTCTCCAGGCCAGATGCTGTATTTAAACACTGACGGGGTGTGATGTTGAATGGAGGAGTTCCCATTTCTAATATGTGATTCTCTGCCAATGCTGTAGCCTCATGGGCAGGTGCATGGGAACACTTTGACGATTTCATTCATTTCCCTCCTGATTTGGTTAGTGAGGTAAATTAAGCATAGCCTCCCAGGTTCTCCCAGGGCCTCAGTTTCACAGGTTTCTCTCTGACACTGCTACTTATAATGGAATTAAGGTTCAGGATTTTTTTTTTTCTTTTTAGCCTTGTGTGACACTTGCAGGCAGAATGGTTACAAGAACTCAGGCTCTTCTCTTTTAAAAAGTCATGTGTTTTCAGTGACATTAGGGTCAAACTATTGGTTTTAGTAGCTGACAAGTTTTTTTTTTTTTTTTTTTTTTTTTTTTAGTTTTTCGAGACAGGGTTTCTCCGTGTAGCTTTGCGCCTTTCCTGGAACTCACTTGGTAGCCCAGGCTGGCCTCGAACTCACAGAGATCCGCCTGGCTCTGCCTCCCGAGTGCTGGGATTAAAGGCGTGCGCCACCACCGCCCGGCTTGACAAGTTTTACTAAAGTGCACACAGGTACACACACATGCATGTGCTTGTGCACACACACATGCACCACTATCACTATCATCACCACTATCAACATCAGATCAACTTCTTTGTCTCTTCTCTTCCTTATTTTTCTCCTAAGGACCTGGCACTCCTTAGTTTTCTTTGTACCTTAAACTTTATCTTTGATTTTCCTAATTAGAGGCAGAGATTTTTCCCTATTCTATTCATGATTGTCCTAATGTACTGGAGAAGATTGAGATGGATGCTGTTTGTTCCTGTTTAATTATTAATAGCTTCTCTTTTCACTCTAGCAGTTGACCAAGTTGAGATATTCAAATACACAGGATTGATTTATAATAAATAACTGCTCAAATGAGTTAATACATTTCATCCATGTGGCACTTTAGTAAGATTTAGGTAGGGGGTCAAAGCAACTGAGCTGTTTAAAAATGATTGTACGTATTTTGTTTAAGTTCTCTGAGCAGGATTTTCATAGCTTGGCTGAATTTTCTGAAATAAGTTGGAGCTGAAAAGTCTGAATCCAAATGAAGACATAATAACCTTTAGATAACAAGAAACAGATACTTGGTGGCCATGCATTGGCAAAACAGGCTTTGCTTGCTTGGCAGTAAGCATAGCTTTCATGTGCTCGAGATGTCACTAAGGAGGACATCAAAAGGGGAATAACGCTGATTCATTCATTTTAGAAGCATCTTTGTAGAAAGTCCCTTAATTTGTGATTTACACTGGCCATTTAGGATATCCTAAGGCCTCTCTTTCTCCCTTCTGGTGGCAGAGGGAAAGGCAACTTGCATTTGATGACCATCTACTCTAGGTCAACACTTGGCTAGGGACTTTGAATTAACTTATTTAGTTCACTCTGTTCCTGCAAAGATGTTATCACAGTCCCACTTCAGGGATGAGCACACAGACATTTAAACACAAAAGTAGAGAAGAGTGGAGCCAGCATTGAAATCCAGGTTGACCAAAGTTTGAAACCTCACCATTTATCTGTCGGTCTCAGTAGCCATCCTTAGGTACCAGTTAGCATGAAGCAGAGAAGGGAAAGAACAGAAGGACTCCCTAGGCTATCCTGTAGTCCTGTGTACATTGTAATTTGCATGGCTGGGTCAGGAGCTATAAGTAGATGTGTTGGGGGGCTGTCCGTGTTGTTGCTGGTCATGCATGAAGGCAGAGCAACATCTGCTTCTCCATGTTGTGTCTTTCTTAGGAATGGGAATGGGCCTGGGAAATTTGTTTTGGAAGCATGTGAGCAAGTCTTCCTGTGTGGTGTCCATGTTAAGCAGAGATGAAAGAGTAACCTTGGTACAACAGGGGTCCTGGTTCTCATGCACGCTCAAAGGAGGACCAGTGCATGGTGTTTTGGTGGAGTTAATGAGTGGGGAGAATGCATGCTGAGTTCTAAAGCTGTACAAAGGTGCTGTTGATCGGGGTTGAGTGGAGAGTTGAGTTGAAGATAGTTCCTAGTTCCATACTGCCTTTGTGAATGGAATCCACAGACTTACCTCATCTGATTTGGGGATGAGTCTGCGAAAAGCAGGTGTATCTGAACCACACCTCAGATGTTATGTTTACATTCAACAATATCAACTGTGCGTCTTTGAATCTGTTTGCAATGTGCTCTCATATATCTTCCAGAAAAATTATCTTGCTTTATGCATAAGATGGACTCTTGAGGTTCCACAGCCTCCCCACAAAAGTCACTATTTGTATACATAAGACAGACCTGACATAATAAAGAAAATATGTATTTTAGGATGTCACTATCCTTCCTCAGTTTTTTTAAAGGTTGCTGTACCTATAATGTTATTGTTACCTGGACTTCTAGAACCTATTTATCCCAGGATAAGGGCTCTGTCCATCCAATGGTAACTAATCTTTGAACTCCTTAACATTTTGCAGTGTGATGTCCTGAATAGGGGTCTCAGGGTATGTCAAAGTATGTCTTTTAAGTTTCACAGGAAGTTCCTTATAGACGGAGAGAAATTGTTCCTTACCTTGCTATTCCTTTTCCTTACCACCCCAATGGCAGCATTACAAGAGTGTATTCCAGGCTCTCAAGCACCACTTACCATTTTCATCCAATTACTAGACTATGGCTTCCCAATAACACCTTGGTTCTTCACAACTTATGAGCTATTGCATGATTTTGTTTTTCACCCAAGAGCTAAAGAGAAAAGCTTTGCTCATTCTCCTTTCTAGGATATTTCTCTCTGACTTATGGCTCTGAGTTCCTTCCCTGGTAGAATAGACACAAACTACTTACCTTTTCTTCTCAGACATTTACCCCTGTCAGCACTGGTTGACTTCTCCCTTCTGTATCTGTGGGGCTCTGTGGAGTCCGAGTGGGACTGGAGGGAAAACTGAAATATCTAGTTCTATACCTTCTTTGGACTGGTTATCTATGGCCTATCCTGCCACTCAGACATACAGGACACGCCTTAAGTCTAAGGAGGGGTTAGTCATAGTTAGAAGGGCTACTGCCCCTTCTTCAGACAGAAGGGTTAGTTCCCTGGGTTCTTTTCTGAATAGGTGGTCACCCCTTTAAATGGCAATTACTCTTGGAGCTTCTGGTTCCCTTAGAATTTTGCACTGTGTTAATGTGCATAGATTATCTCAGAGCCAAGCAGGTCCTTAGAACAGGATGGTAAGAGCTCCTTGAGATGGGGTGGGGCTCAGGTATCCAGCAAAGGATATGTAGGAACCCCTCAGAAGATGGCAGGAGGGTTCTTGGCTATACCATCCAACACTGCTCACAAGAAGAGTTGTCTCAGTCCTTGTCTTCCCTTCTTTGATTGGAACTTGATTTTAAAGGTGGTCAAGTGCATTTGCTCCTGTAATTGTTTTTAGAAACAAATGGCTCATAAGAAATCCATATGTCTGGAAGAATTGTGACACCACCTCCATTGGGTAGACCCTAGGGGTGGTGAGTTCTGCTGTCTCTGTCTGGGCTGGTGCCTGTCTCTTGCCATCAGTAGTTAATTTCTGCTGATGATTATTGCTGCCTTCTTCTCTCTAGCCACTTGTGGTTAACCCTGATGGAAAATAGAAATCCACCAAGACCTCCAGCCAAATGCATTTACATGCACCTGGCTGGGGAAGCTGTCACCCTGGTGGAGTTTTCATGATGCTAGCATCATGGTCACATGTCATGAACTATCACATGATGTCTTATGCATGATAAGGCCCTAGTGTATGGGTCTTTCCACGCAGGGCACAAGGTGGGTGAGAGGAAACAATTGCTGTTCTGTGTTCATTAGGGAAGCCGGCTTCTATGTGGCCCTCTACCTTCTACCTCAATCTCTCTCTTTGGGTTCATTTCTAAGAATGAGGCATTTGATTCCAGACAAACTTGAGTTGAATTTTCCAGTGTGTTGCTGGGATTCTTTTAGCTGTAAAAGAATGAGAGAAAGCTTAACTCAGAATCCTTTAAACAGAAAAGTCGATGTGACACCTTAACAGTAAATTCAGGAGTAGGATTATTTCTAGTACTAGACCAGGATTCATGTAATGGCACCAGATTCATTAGATGCTGTTTTCTCTGTCCTCTTCCTTCTCATTCCTATGTAGGCTTTCTTCTCATTCCTCCATTTGTT